AAGCGCTTAAAGTAGGCAATCGCGAAGCCGAATACCTGATAGCGAATGTGGGGAAATAAGAAGAGAAATGCGAAGATAAGAGTTTATTAGGCCTGATGTTAAATCATTTTGATCATTTTTTCCCTGTGAAGACAGCCAGAAAAAAAGCGGTGTTGGATGAAATATGATTATTTCAGGAGAATCTTCGTAACACGCGTTCTTTTCGTATGTACCAAGAATCTAGTTTTAACCAGGGTTAAATGGAGTTAGTTAAATCATTTTGATCATTTCTTCCCTGTGAAGACAGCCAGAAAAAAAGCGGTGTTGGATGAAATACGAACATCTACATCATGTACTTTCATATTAAATTAAAGTCTTTACAAAAATCTTATTTCAGGAGAATCTTCGTAACACGCGTTCTTTTCGTATATACCAAGAATCTAGCTTTAACCAGGGTTAAATGGAGTTAGTTAAATCATTTTGATCATTTCTTCCCTTTGAAGACAGCCAGAAAAAAAGCGGTGTTGGATGAAATATGATTATTGTCGGCCAGCCATTGAAAGCTACCTTTGCTTCTGACACTAAACAGATTAGATGCTGAACGTGTTCTCGCTATCAAATTGAATTAGCTGTAGTTTATTTATATCTATATCAATTTTTATTTAATAACATAATGATATTCGATGCTGGCCAGAGCTCGTTTTCGCCACTTGATCGGAGCAACATGGAGACCATGTTTAAGGTTTATATGCAAAGAAAAGTTGGGTTTCGAGGAATCTCTTTTTCCATAATTGTTGAGCTTACTTCCATTTCAAGTGAGTGTTAGATGAAGAGATTCAAAGGTCGGTTCCATCAGAAGACGACGGCGGATTTCTCTTGACCAGCTGTCAATTAGCTTCACTTGAATATACATGCTGACGCCGAGGTAATCTCTTTCGATTCCAGCTTTCGTCCGTCATATGACGAACATCATCAGAGCAAGGTATCATCGTCACAACAAAATTCAAGCCAACGAGTCAAGAAAACTCGACAGCTAGTCAATAGGAATCCGCAGTCGTCTTCTGGTAGAACCGACCTTCGAATCTCTTCAACCAACACTTTCACTCTAAATGGAAGTAAGCTCAACGATTACATTTTCTAGTCTTAAGTCCTCTATCATAGTAGCCATGATAATTTCCAAAAACGGACTATTAGCATGGTATATCCTCAGACGCTACTCTGGCGTCCTTAGCTCCAATATAGAACTCTTCAACGTGACAAGTTAAGTCAATCTTCTTGGCCAAATGTTTGTTCATATCGCTATATCCTCCCCTCCTAAGCACTGCTTTACATGGCTTATCTACCTATCGACTTCTCCTTGTGCTTTGGTTTGCTCCAAAGTCTCATAAATGTGTCAATTCAGGTTGTTTTAATAAAGCTTAATCACCATCACCACATGATTGTAACTCTGTTCTAGGGATGGAGGCTTTCACTGAAAATGCCGATTAAGATGCCCTCATGAAATCTGGGAATGCACCAAATCATGAATACTACGATAGACGAAGCAAGACTAGATAAGTTCCACAAGGTCACGCTATTGCCAGACCAAAGTGCGAGAGCGAGGTCAAAGCAACATTAATTGCCATTATGTTATTGCCTATAATTGAAGGGAGATGGATAGAGGAAATAATACATATTTACATAGCGTGGAGAAATCATTTTGGTAGACAATATGTCCCATTAGCCACCAAATATGGTAAAAAAGCACATAATGTGTGAAACTGTGTTGATACAAGAAGAGAAGACAGCTTTCAATCGACCTTTTGAAATAGCATTATTGGCCGCAATCTTAATTAACTTAAAAGTGTGTGGAGAAGAGATTTATAGGTTGATCTCATCTCGAGAGCCAATCTGATGCGTATACGTAGCCATAGAGAATAGAGCATTGAGTCTACTGGATTCAGTGTAAGCTATAACTGTGAAGCAAAGGGTTTCTTTAAAATTCACGTCTGCTCCGTGAACCAGGGCACTCGTAGCAGAGTGACGTGGTGGTAATATGTCGAGATTATACGCTGCACAACCAAAGTTCGATTCCCATTAGTAAGCGGAGTCGAAACTGGACCCTAGTTTAATCGAGATGAGAACACCTTTTGGGAAGCAAGGCCAAATATAATTTAATAGAAACGTGGGGTATGCTACAGCTTTGGGGAAGATTTCAACTATCAGTCCTTTATCCTCCTGTGCGACCTAGGCTAACCGGAACTCTTATCCACGATTGAGGAAAGTTTAGGACTTTTTCAGTTGGAACTGTGGGATTTTCCAATTCGAAAAACAGATTATCTGATCGAGCTGGCTTGATCTTACACTGTCCTATAATCTCACATGTAGGCAATTTCTTATCATGCTTCTTAGCTAGCAAGTTAGAGGTCCTTCGTGACGTCTTATCGTTAGAGCTTTAGAGTTTGAGAAAATCCCCTGAAGTGGGAATCCTGGGGAACATATTCATAGACAGGATACGAGAACTGGAAATCTTCAGAAAGACAAGCTACATAGAGAGAAATTACGTTGAAATATTCTTGCTGCGAAAAATCGAATGTGTAGGAGATTAGAAGAGGGCAGATTTAGCGATAACGTTGTATAACGCTTAAGCGAATTCGAGGCAAACTGGGAAATATCAAGGTTGGATAACATGATGTGAAGACTTTCATTTCGTATGAAAGTGCATGACGAAGGGATTCTTTTTGATTTAGTGATAAGTTGAGCCTTTTGCAAAAATGAGCCCCAGTTATGACGATGTTCGTCACATTACGAACTAAAGCTCAGCTTGTCTTCGCTCGAAACGTTGGAGGATGTATCGTGGACTGCATCAACCTGAACGTCGTATTAAAGCCAAACGGCTGCAGTACAACGTGAATCAGCCGACGTCTTCTGGCAAGATTGACCTACGAACATCTACATCATGTACTTTCATATTTAATTAAAGTCTTCACAAAAATCTTATTTCAGGGGAATCTTCATAACACGCGTTCTTTTCGTATATACCAAGAATCTAGTTTTAACCAGGGTTAAATGGAGTTAAAGGAGAAGGTAGGGAAAATTGTAAATCAAAAGAAGACAATTGCAATGAATGCAGTAATCCCGAGTAAACTGCGACTTTTGGAGGTCTAAAGCAACCGTCATAGGAATTTGCTATTATGGACAATGGAGAAAAACTAGTGGGACTAGGAGTCTAGTCGAGGTGATCAATGTTGGCTCAGATCATACAGGTTGATTCATAAAGAAAGCTCGTAGAGACAATGCCTGATCACGGGATTTAGTCGGAACAAGTGCCGAAAAGAAATAAGGATAAGCACAATGTAAAGATGGTCTATGGCGCTAAAGGGATATAAGCGGGCATGGAAATCAGGGCCTCG